CTGAGTGTTTGTAGGGTTGCCAGGTGCCCAGCATTTTTGCCTCCTAGCCAGGGAAAAAAAACAGAAAATATCGGCCATTTCAGGTGTCCGGTATTCTCTGAATTTTTTTTACCGGACAGGAGGTGAAAATACTGGACTATCCGGGTGACTACCAGATACCTGGCAACCCTAAATCCTGCTGGGCTGTGGGAAGGGGCGGGGGCAGATGGGAGCACACTGGCCACATGGGAGGTGGCTGCAAGACCGTGTGGCCAGGGCCAATGGGCACGTTCCCACATTGCAGCTAGAACCAGCGCTGGCAAAGCCAGGCCCTTGCTTCACTCCTAGCCAGCCCGTGGGGCAAGGGACAAGTCACCTGCCAAGCTCTCTGTCCTCCCTGGGCCAGAGCCGCAGGCAGCGACCCCCAGCCCAGTGAGCGAGCGGGGTTGGGTGCAGCAGGGAGGTCAGCCCAGCGCTGTAGCACCATTGTGCTTCCCAGAGCCCCGTCCACACCGGCCCTGCCAGCTCTGGGGCCATGCACGTCCTTAGCCAGGCCCTATGGCCAGCCCCAGCACACTTTGCAGTGCTCCAGGGATAACGACTCCTGCTGCTATCCGCTGCGTGGCATCCTCAGCCCCACAAGGGGGCAGCACTACCTGCCTATTCCTGCTCCAGATGCAGGACCAGATCTGGAGGGGAGGGGGAAGGAGTGTGCGGTGTCTGCCTGTTGTCTGTCTGATACCCTCCAAGACCAGAGTAACTGTCGGGCAGGGGGATGGGGTGGAAAAACCAGAGGAGCAAGCCTTGCGCTCTGTCCTGGCCATTAAACACCTCCCCTCGAGAAGCAGCTGGGTGCCGGCTCTCCCTGCTGCCCCGGCAGCTGGCTCACTGGAGTGGAGTTCAGGGGCTCGGCGGGCGCTGGGGCTCAGCTGTGGTGGGAGCCTGTGCTTGGAGCCTGCGCCTGGCCCCAGGGCGCTGGGAGCTTTGCGTGGGCAGCCCCGGGCACTTCCTGGGGGGCGGCTGCAGCTGATGAGGCTGAGCCGGGGGGCCTCTTCTTCGCCTTCGTGAGTGCGTCCCCCCCTCCGGCTGGCAATCCCCCCTCCCATGCGCCCTTCCTGCTGTGTTCTCTCCCCCGCAACTCCCCTGCCTGTGAATCCCCCTTGACCGGCTGTTCCCCCCCGGCCTGTGTGGCCTGCCCACTATCCCGGCACCGGGTGTTGTTATTGTTGCCCTCTCACGAGTCAAAACTAATGGCTCAGTGGCAGGGGCCATTTGGGGTAAAAATAGATTACAAGGTCCAACTGACTGGCAAGCGTAGAGAGACCCAGATTTATCATTGAACCTCTTAAAGAAGTGGGTGGCACGAGAAAACGTAATGATAGAGCCCCAAACTCCAGAACCAAACCTGGGCCCTGGGTGCGGAGGGAGGGAAATGGAGTGGGGACAGTCCGATTGGGCGAGGAACTAACACTCCCACAGAAAGAAGAGGCTTGTCAATTGCTGCAACAGTTCACGCAGGTGTTGTCAGAACACCCCGGGCAGACAACCTTCGCGGAACACCGCATTGACACCGAGCCCGGTGAGAGACTATGCGAACCGGCCCGGCCCTTGCCGCGGAAGCTACAGGATACGGTGCAGAAGGAATTGCGAACCAGGTTACGATGGGGAGTGGTGGAAGAGCCATATAGTGACGGCGGAGTCCTATAGTGCTTGTGCCTAAGCCCAATGGAGCTATACGATTCTGTATTGATTTTAGAAAGGTAAACACCATATCGCCGGGTGGACAAACTCTTGGAGCAGCTAGGCCAGGCACAATATATTTCAACAGCTGCCATCACCAAAGGCTACTGGCAAATTCCACTAGCAACAGCCTCTGAAGAGAAAACAGCCTTTTCGACCCCATTCAGTCTTTACCCATTTACCACCTTGCCTTTCGGCCAACATGGGGCGGCAGCCACCTTCCAGAGATTAATGGACTGGTACTGTGAGAGCATCAGCAGTATGCTGCTATGTACAGGCAGTCCCCGACTTACGCGGATCTGACTTATGTCGGATCTGCACTTACGAACTGGGCTTTTCTCGCCCCGGAGCTCACGGGCGGCGGGTCACTGCCCGTGTCCTCCGGGGCGAGAAAAGCTTCTCCCGGTCTCCCTGGTCTGCTGGGGGGGTCCAGCAAAGCCACTAGACCCCCCCCAGCAGACCAGGGACACCCGAGAAAAGCCGCCGCCTGGGCGGCTTTGCTCCCGGGCAAACGAGCAAAGCCGCCCAGGCGGCAGCTTTGCTTGGGTGTCCCTGGGCTGCTGGGGGGGGGGGGGGTGGGGGCTTTTG